TCTCTCTCTCTCTCTCTCTCTCTCTCTCTCTCTCTCTCTCTCTCTCTCTCTCTGTGGCATAGTGCGCAGCCACACGGGCCTGCAAGGCCCGACCAGACGGAAAATCAGGGCCTTCCAGGCCCTGTGTCGTTTCAGCCTAAAAGGGGCCCTCCAGGCCCTGAGTCTTTTCAGCCTGAAACGGAGGGTCATTTTCAGGCCCTCATAAGATCGACCTGCCCTGAAACTTAGGCACCAGGCCAGGGTTTTAGCACAGGCCATTTTGGGCCTGTTTTCAAGACAACGTTTGTTTGAAGTTCAACGCCAGGGTCTGTGTTACATGCTGCGCCTGCACACGAGGGCCATTTTCCAGGCCCTGCGTCCCTCAGGCTGAAAGCCTGAAATTCAGGCTTAAAGCCTGAAAACCAGGGCCTACAGGCCCCGTGACTGTTCAGCCCGAAAGCCTGAAAACAGGGGCCTACAGTCCCTGTGTCGTTTCAGACTAAAAATGGCAATAGCCTTTTTAGCCTGAAACGAAGGGCCATTTTGGGTCGTTCATCAGAACGACCGGCCCTGAAACTCAGGCATTGAACCAGGGTTTCGGGAACAGGCTATTCTTAGCCTGTTCCCCACGCCAGCCTCAGCAGCTGCTGCAGCGCCAGCCCCTGGCACACTTCAGCATTGGCAAGGGCAGCCTCCTCGGCCTGGCTTGCCCTTCAGGCAGTCAGGAGGCAGGCCGAGGTAGTACATAGGGACTTCCCATGCACTTCACGGGTAGGCAGGAGGCAGTAGTCTTCAGGATTGGGCCGCATCACTCCCCGGAGTAGTAGTAGCGTTAGCCTTTAGTCTTCAACGTTGGGCGCAATAGGTAGCTGTAGTCTCCAGCGTTGGGCGCCATAGCTACGATAGCACTAGAGAGAGAGAGAGATTGGGCGGAGGCCATAGGTACTTACCTGCAGCGCCGTTGCTCCAGCTTCGTCTTCGAGGTACTTGCAGCACAGCGCCAACATCACAGGTTAGTTCCTGGCTCGTAACAGAGAGAGAGAGAGTTCTTCTTCTTCCTCTTCTCAGTCCACCATCTCCCTCTCACCCTCTCATCATCTGACTTCACTGCATCTACAGACTACGAGAGAAGAGAGAAAGAGCTTGGTGACATTGGACCCAGACTCGACTTTTGGACTTCAGACATTGCAACGAGGGGTTATTTGGGATTTGTGACAAAGACTTGGTGTTGACGACATTCCCATCTCTCTCCCTCCTTTCGTCTGATCCCCTCCTCTTCGTCAGTGCATGTCTGGACCTGGCGCTTTCTTCCTATGTACAGCGCCAGGCTCCTTCACACCTGGTGATGGATACGATGTATGTTTGGTCTGCGTTCAAACATTGATTGGGCTAGTCATTAGCATCCTAGCATTCTGCTTCGCTATCTGATACTATGTGAATGAGGTCAGTCCCGATCAGGTCAGGATTTGTATCTAAGTCTTCCCTGCGCTATACAGCACCATTTTGTATGTATTAGAATTCACATTGCTTGTTGAGATTCTACTCGCACTGCATTGTCCATTCAGTCCTTTTTATCACATTGCGGATCCTCGGTTTCTATGTACATCGCCCAACTGGGCATGTAACAGTTGGTATAGGAACGCCGCACGTGAATCAGGACCACCTGATCTGATACGTGTACGGGGACTAGGTAGCTGATTAGTCTTTATTGATTGATTAGAGCACACTAGTTAGACCCCAAAATCACGATTTTGACCTTACTGCCGAAAATCGAATTTTTTTTCTTTTCTTGGATTTTGCTTTCTCGCTATTCTGTTGTGAAAAATTGCAATAGCGCAATATCTGAAATTTCCATTTTTTCTTCTGAAAATTCGAAATTTCGTTGTTAAAAATCCGGAATATCCTTTGTTTCAAAAATTTCGATTTCCTGTTGTATGTCCCGTTACTTAGAAATTCAGAATATTTTCTTTTTCGAAATTCGTTTTTTTGAAAACGGTACGGGAAATCCCTCCTGCAGTATTATCTTCCAAACTGCGAATATTCTCATCTGAGAAAATCCGAATACTTGTCATTTCTTTTCGGAATTTTTTTTTTCCGCAGTTCTAGGATTCTGTTAGTCAGTTCTATAAATCATTTGCAGTCTGAAGTCGAAATTTTTTTCATTGATCATTTCAAACTTCAAGGGAGGCCGGGAGACCTACTGATCCCCTGCGACGACATTGGTAAGTTGCAACGTCAGCAGGCCATCTCAGCAGACTACGTCAGCAGGACACGCCAGCAGACCACGTCAGCAGGCCACGTCAGCAGACCACGTCAGCAGGACACGTCAGCAGGACACGTCAGCCGACACAGCAGGAAATACCACGTCAGCAGGCCCCCGGCCTGGTCTATGCTGGTGCGGTCACATACAACCGTCATGGACCAGAGGTCCGGAGAAGCAGACGAGGCCTATCAGGCCCAGATGCTGGCTTGGAGTACCGAAACAAAGAAACGGCCCGATGACGCAGCAGCAGCAGCGAAGAAGGCGGCAGAGGACGCCTAGCAGGCACGTCTGTTGGCGCTTGAACAACAGCGTCAGCATGACAAGGCAGCAGCAAGGGCTGCCGATGAAGAAAGAAACCAACGTCGTGAGAAGATATTTAGCGGAGAGCAGACTTTGCTCACAATGGCAGCGGCATGGCGAACCGAGGCCGAGAATGGCAAGTTGGAGGATTGCGAAAACAAGATCGCTCTCCTCCTCTCGCATCTCACAGACCTCCTGGCAATCTGCATTATACAGCAGGAGGATATCCACAGCCTTGACGACTCGCTAGCTCAAGTCCAAGGCCGCCTTCAGCAGCTGGAGCAGCGACCTGTCGCCGCCCCCGATGCAAGCTCTTCCAATACCTTTGATCGCCTCGAAGCATTGGAGATGGACGTCAGCTCCCTCAAGGACGGCGTGCAGTTACAGCAGACCGCAACGCAACAGTTGCAACAACGGATCTGTACTACCGCCAACACCTCGAGTTCGGAACCGCGCGAGACAACTCCAAAGTTTGACGGCCAGGAGATCTTCTGCCACTCGACAAAGACAGATCTGATTCCATGGTTCCGCAAGTTCGAGCTCACGCAGCAGCTACACAACGTCAAAGAACACAAGCACCACGCATACTTGTACTCTCGCTCAGGGGGCGCGTCCCAAGCTTGGTTGGACAATCTCTTGTCCAAGTACGGAGTGCTAGCTAACGACTTGCACACCAAGATCAGTTGGGATGATCTGAAGGCAGCGTGGCACAAGCGGTTCGAAGTCGAGCCGCCCGAGATCAAGGCTATGGACAAGCTCATGATCTTCGAGCAAGGCACGCTGCCGAGTACCGACTGGATTGCCGAATACCAACGCTTGACGCCAGTCCCAGATATCCAGATGGGCTTCAAAGCCATCCGCCACTTTTTCATCTCAAGGTCATGTCCGACATTAAGTAATGCCCTGACTCACGTCGAGGACACCTTGACGACGACGGCGGAACTTTTTGACAAGGCTGCGCAGATCATCATTACGAACAAGGAGGCTAAGAACCTGCGTTCGTCTACGGCAGGCTCGAGCAGGGACCAGCATCGGCCAAGAGTGGTTGTGGTCGCAGCGGCAACACCGTTTGACCAAACCAGCGGGGTTGTTTCTGCCAGTGAAGGGGACAGACTCGCAGCCGCCTAGGAAGGTGGCCGCCCCGGCAGAGGCCGAGGACGCGTCAAGACGAAGACTCACACAGGATCTAGCCCCGGGCCCGGCGCAGCAGCTCCAGCCCCATGGTCCCAATATGGCATCTCCGAGCAAGCATTTACGGCGCGCACGAAATTCCACTATTGCCTATGGTGCAACACTAATCTTCATCAGACACTAGCCTGCCCATTGAAAGGCAAGGGCAAACAGGGAAACTTAGCACCACCGAGAGTGACTCGACAACACTCTCGACGGCTCCGGAACCGGTTTCTTCGCGAGTAACCGACCTTCATTTTGAGGCGCACGCGGAAGTCGATAGTCCTCCTCTTACTTATTCTTTTGAGGACTATGCTGCCCGGCTCGTTCCTACGCTGGGTACTTAAGCTCAAGGACAAGAAGTGTGTGCGGTTTCTTTTCCGTCCGGCAGCAGCGACATATCGTCTTCAAGTGGTTCTTCACGGGAATCGACGCGCGAATTCAACATAGAGGTATTGGACCCGCTCACGGTCGAGGACTTTGCATGGCTTCCTCTCTCGACCACAGGCCGCTTGCCGGGACCGCAATGCGCAACACTATGCGCTCATCTCCACACTTACTTATCCTTCTATGCACCACCAACTTCGCCGACGGATGACGAAGTCACGGTGGGGGACATCCTTGTGTATACTACCAAGGTGGCCCGCGAGTTTCGCACGCAGCGGTACGATGACAACAACGCACCGGTCATGTATGTCCGCATTCAAGTTGGGCAAACGTCCTGCAGCGCTTTGTTGGATAGCGGCGCGTCTCGCAATTTCATGAGCCAATCCTTTATGCAAAGGGTTGGCCTTGGCGCACAAGTTCGGAGGAAGGCAAACCCGACGGCGATCAAGTTGGCGGGTGGGAAAACGCAGCAACTTCTCGACCGTTACGTCGAGGCCGTACCGGTTTACTTCGCACCTCATGCATGCGAACCGGTGACATTCGATATTCTCAACACGGACTTCGACATCATTCTGGGAATGCCTTGGCTTGCAAGTGCGGATCACACGGTCAACTTCCATCGGCGGACTCTTAGCATTCGCGACGCCTTCGGCGTCGAAGTGGCGTGTACTATTCCTCTACTGCACCCTTCGATTCGGTGCCAAGTGGTGACGGCCAAATCATTCAGGGCGACTTGCGCTTACGAGGAGGCCGAGGAGATCGGCCTATGTTTCCTGCGGACCGTGGCGGTAGCCGACTCTTCACCCACGGACTTGTCTTTGGACCCCCGGGTGGTGCGGTTGCTGGACGAGTTAGCCGACATCTTCGAGTCACCTACCGGTGTGGTGCCGGATTGGCCGATCTCTCACGAGATCATTCTTGAGGCCGGTGTCGTGCCACCGAAAGGTTGCATCTATCGGATGAGCGAGGAGGAGCTTGAGGTCCTCCGCGCACAACTCGACGATTTGTTGGCCAAGGGCTGGATCCGCCCTAGCAGCTCCCCATATGGAGCACCGGTTCTCTTCGTCCGGAAGAAGAACAAGGATCTACGATTGTGTATCGACTACTGCAAGCTCAACGTGCAAACCGTCAAGAATGCAGGGCCTCTTCCTCGCATCGATGATCTTCTTGAGCGATTGGGCGGCACAAAGTATTTCTCTAAGTTGGATTTGAAATCAGGATATCATCAAATCTCGATCCGGTCCAATGATCGCTACAAATCCGCATTCAAGACGCGGTATGGGCATTTTGAGTGGGTGGTCATGCCTTTTGGCCTCACCAACGCCCCGACGACCTTTCAAGCGGCAATGACCAACGAGTTTCGTGCAATGTTGGACCGGTTCGTGCTGGTCTACTTAGACGATATTCTCATCTATAGTCGGACTTTGGAGGATCATCTTGGGCATCTTCGACGAGTGTTGGAGACGCTCCGCCGCGCCAAGTACAAGGCCAATCGCGACAAGTGTGAATTTGTCCGGCAAGAGCTGGAATACTTGGGCCATTTTGTCACACCAGAAGGCATCAGTCCGCTATCGGATAAGATTCAGGCCATCCAAGGGTGGCCGGAGCCTCGGAACGTCACGGATGTCCGTTCGTTCCTTGGCCTTGCTACTACCAACGTTTTATCAAAGGCTACTCGAAGATTGCGGCCCACTTGACCAAGCTTCAATGCGAGGATCGGCCGTTTGACTTCGGAGAGGAGGCGCGGGAATCATTCTTCGCTCTCAAAGCCGCGCTATTATTTGCGGAGGTCTTGCGGATATATGAACCGCTCGCGCCTACGCGCGTCACTACGGATGCGTCAGGTTATGGCATTGGTGCAGTCCTCGAGCAACATGATGGTGTGGACTGGCACCCGGTCGAGTATTTCAGCAAGAAAGTGTCCGTCGTGCACCCGGACGATGCACGCAAGGAGATCCTCGCCTTCGTCCACGCGCTCAAGCGGTGGCGGCACTTCCTCCTTGGTCGAAGCCAATTTCGATGGGTAACGGACAACAATCCGTTGTTTTTTTACAAGACCCAAGACACCGTCAACAACACCATCACTCGATGGATGGCTTTCATCGACCAGTTCGACTTCCTTCCCGATCACATTCCAGGGAAGTCGAACCGTTTTGCGGATGCTCTTTCACGGTGTCCGGATCATTGTACCGCGGTCTACTCAACCTTCGAGATCGACGATGACCTGCGGAACAGCTTCATCCGTGGCTACCAAGCCGACCCCGAGTTTCGCGACAAGTACGCGAATTGCTCCTCTCCTAATCCGGTGCCTTCTCACTATCGGATCCAAGAGGGGTACTTGCTTGTCCACATGCGGGGGAAGGACCTTCTTTGCGTACCGAGTGATCCTCACTTGCGTACACGGCTTCTTGGCGAGTTCCATGATGCTCCCGCCACCGGACACTTTGGAGTCAATCGCACGATTGGCCGACTTCGCCAACGATTTTGGTGGCACGGCCTTCTCGGCGACGTCACGTGCTATTACGAGTCATGCGAGGTTTGCCGATGCTGCAAATCCCGCAACCATCGTCCGTATGGCGAGTTACGACCATTACCGGTCCCGTTGAGGCGAAGGGAAGCGATTCCCATAGACATTACCGGTCCGTTCCCCAAGCACAAGACCGAAGTGGATGGGATTCTCACGGTGGTCGACTGACTCACCAAGTTCGCCATGTTTTTGCCATGTCGCTATCATACCAAGGCACCCGAGTTGGCCGAGGTTCTCTACGCCGGTTGGATTCGAAGCAAGGGTTACCCCAAGGAGATCGTCTGCGACCGCGACACCCGGTTCATGTCCGATTTTTGGTTGGCGCTCATCAAGCGATGGGGCTCATCTCTCAAGCCCAGTTCAGCTCGCCACGCTCAGACCAATGGCCGAATGGAGAGGGCGCACCAGACCGCATATGTTCTCCCTTGCACTCTCATTCCTTCCTGACCAGAAGGACCGGGTTGAGCGGCTGCCGGATGTTGAGTTGGCCTACAACTCTTCCATCCACCCAGCTATCGGGATATCGCCTTTCGAGTTCGAGCACGGCTCGCCGATCACTTCACCGTTGGACACTATTACTCCACCGACGGCCGAGATCGACGACCATCTTCTTTTCTTGTGTCGGATGTAAGAGCTTCTTGTCAAGACGTGCGACCAGATGGCTAAGACGCAGCAGCGCATGAGCCAGCAGGCCAATCGCCAGGGTCTTCCTTGCCCATTCCGTGCCGGCGACCTCGTTTGGGTTTCCGCAACGGAATTCAGCCTTGAACAAGACATCTCTCGCAAGCTCCTCCCGAAATGGATGGGACCTTGGCCGATCGTGGCACCCGCTGGGGACGCACCTGAGGAACCTTCCTTCATGGTTCAGGTGCCCGCCCACTTGCCCGTCTACCTAGTCTTTCATTGCTCCAAGTTGGCTCTTTACACGCCAGCGGAACATGACGGTTTTCCCGGGAGACGTTCGCAAGACCCACCCTCCATGGATGGTTTTCAAGAGGCCGGCGACATCATCTCCCAGCGACGCTACGGCAACAGGCCAACCGAGTATTTAGTGCATTTTGCATACTGCACACACCGAGCTGACCGTTGGTTGACCCGTGCGGAACTTCAAGCAACAGCTCCAGACGTTCTCGCACGCTACTAACGCAAGATGCAAGGCAAGCCGGTTTCTTCGGCTCCACGCAGCGCCCGCGTCCAGGTTCCACCTTCAGATCGTCGGCTCCGCCCTCGCCCCAGCTTGACTTCATAAGGAGGGTGGGGTGTTACATGCTGTGCCTGCACACGAGGGCCATTTTCCAGGCCCTGCGTTCCTCACGCTGAAAGCCTGAAATTCAGGCTTAAAGCCTGAAAACTAGGGCCTACAAGCCCCGTGACTGTTCAGCCCGAAAGCCTGAAAACAGGGGCCTACAGTCCCTGTGTCGTTTCAGACTAAAAATGGCAATAGCCTTTTTAGCTTGAAAGGAAGGGCCATTTTCGGTCGTTCATCAGAACGACCGGCCTTGAAACTCAGGCACCAAACCAGGGTTTCGGGAACCGGCTATTCTTAGCCTGTTCCCCACGCCAGCCTCAGCAGCTGCTGCAGCGCCAACCTCTGGCACACTTCAGCATTGGCAAGGGCAGCCTCCTCGGCCTGACTCGCCCTTCAGGCAGTCAGGAGGCAGGCCGAGGTAGTACATAGGGACTTCCCATGCACTTCACGGGTAGGCAGGAGGCAGTAGTCTTCAGGATTGGGCCGCATCACTCCCCGGAGTAGTAGTAGCGTTAGCCTTTAGTCTTCAACGTTGGGCGCAATAGGTAGCTGTAGTCTCCAGCGTTGGGCGCCATAGCTACGATAGCACTAGAGAGAGAGAGAGATTGGGCGGAGGCCATAGGTACTTACCTGCAGCGCCGTTGCTCCAGCTTCGTCTTCGAGGTACTTGCAGCACAGCGCCAACATCACAGGTTAGTTCCTGGCTCGTAACAGAGAGAGAGAGAGTTCTTCTTCTTCCTCTTCTCAGTCCACCATCTCCCTCTCACCCTCTCATCATCTGACTTCACTGCATCTACAGACTACGAGAGAAGAGAGAAAGAGCTTGGTGACATTGGACCCAGACTCGACTTTTGGACTTCAGACATTGCAACGAGGGGTTATTTGGGATTTGTGACAAAGACTTGGTGTTGACGACATTCCCATCTCTCTCCCTCCTTTCGTCTGATCCCCTCCTCTTCGTCAGTGCATGTCTGGACCTGGCGCTTTCTTCCTATGTACAGCGCCAGGCTCCTTCACACCTGGTGATGGATACGATGTATGTTTGGTCTGCGTTCAAACATTGATTGGGCTAGTCATTAGCATCCTAGCATTCTGCTTCGCTATCTGATACTATGTGAATGAGGTCAGTCCCGATCAGGTCAGGATTTGTATCTAAGTCTTCCCTGTGCTATACAACACCATTTTGTATGTATTAGAATGCACATTGCTTGTTGAGATTCTACTTGCACTGCATTGTCCATTCAGTCCTTTTTATCACATTGCGGATCCTCGGTTTCTATGTACATCGCCCAACTGGGCATGTAACAGTCTGGCACGTTTTGGCATTGGCAAGAGCAGCCTCTTGGACGGGCTAGCACTATATAAGACTGGCCCGCCCTGCAGATAGTTCATAGGGACTTCCCAGGCACTTCACGTGCAGGAGGCAGAAGGCAGTCTTCAGGATTCGGGAGCAGCACTTTGGAGGAGCGCTGTAGTAGTAGTAGTAGTGTTAGCAGTAATCTTCAGCGGTGGGCGCTATTAGGAGTTAGAGTAGCGTGGGAGAGAGGGAGATGGTTGGCGAAGGCCAGGGAGACTTACCTATGGCGCCATAGCTCCAACTTTGTTTTCGATGTACCTGCAACAAGGCGCCACCTTCACAGGTTAGTACCAGACTGAGAGAGAGAGAGAGAGTTCTTCTTCTTCCTCTTCTAAGTCCACCACCTCTCCCTCACCCTTGCTACCTAACTTCTCAGTATCTGCAGACTACGAGAGAGAGAGAGATTGGTGACTTTGGTACTTGATGACATTTGGATCCAGACTCTACATTGGGATTGAGACGTTGGACGAGGGATTATTCGGGACCTGTACCAAAGACTTGGTGTTGACGACATTCCCATCTTCCCCTCTTCTTCGTCTAAAACCCCTCTTCTTCGTTTGTGTATGGTTGGGGACTGGCGCATTCTTCCTGTGTGAGCGCCAGGCCCCTTCACACCATGGAATGATGATGATGTATGTTTGGTCTGCATTGCAANGTGTATGGTTGGGGACTGGCGCATTCTTCCTGTGTGAGCGCCAGGCCCCTTCACACCATGGAATGATGATGATGTATGTTTGGTCTGCATTGCAATATTGATTGTTCGGATCATTGGTATATTAGCCTTCCGCTGTGCTATCTTGTACTATGTGAGAGAGGTCAGTTCCTGTTCTGGTCTACGACACTGGAAGAGCAGCACAAGGAGTTCCTCTCCAAACTCGTGATCCGGTTGGTTTACACTTGTAACCACCTGCAGTCCGAGTTAGAGAAACAACACCAGGAACAAGCGAAACAACAGCAGGGACTGACAAACCTCTGACGGACAGTGCAAAACGACAAGGATCTGCACGAGGATGATACACGGGCACTTCATTCTCGTGTACAGGACTTGGAGCAAGCGTCACCAAGACCAGATGTTGGCGAGTCCAGCAGTGCACCCTCAACCCGCCAATTGGAAGAACGAGTTGACCATTTAGTCGCAATGCTCGGCGACATCAGCACCTTCGCCACACCAGCCACCATCAGCGAGCAGCTCGACACCTTGTAGACCGAACTCAGGCAGCTGCACCGGCCACCCGACAACGATCGTAGCACTAGTACATCAAAGCACTACAAGATGCCAACGTTCCGATCAAGAAGTTTGACAACTGTACGCATCAGGACCCAGTCGTCTGGTGGCAAGGCTTTACAATGCAGCTTGGGATTCATGAAGTCCCCGAACATTTGTACATCGTGGCGCTGTTCCTCAACGCCCACGGCGGATGCCAGATCTGGCTCAGCCACATGGCAACCATCCACGCCGTCCAGGTCAACAACTTACACAAGAAGATCTCTTGGGAAGATCTGATGAGAGAATGGAAGAAGCGCTTCACTGTTGACGACGCCCTGGCGCTCGCCATCAACCGCCTCTTCACCATGACTCAAGGCAACACATCGACGCGCGATTGGCTCACAAAATGGCAAAACATGGTGGCAACACCCGATCTCGACTTATCATTTCTGCATTTGCCCTGAGAGTTCTACAACCGGTCGTCTGCCGCCTTGAGACTCGCACTCGGTGATCGCAAACAAAACACGACCTTCGCCGAAATCATCGTCAAGGGTCATGAGATCATCAAGAGCAACCGGGTTGCCGCACACAAGAAGACAGCATGGCAACTAGCCTATGTGGAGAAGGAAAATTTGGTCCGCGTCGGCAACATGTCGCTGCAGTCCAACCAGACAACATTGTGGAAGACCCGGCAGCCACCTCAACATCACGTGAAGGAGAGATCAGCTGGCCAATGTCCAGCCGCGAAGCAACAACAACTCCCTTGGAAAAGGGAAGGCGAAAACCGCATCGCCGGCCGGAAACGGACAGCCAGTACCATGGGTCAAGTTTAACTTGACCGAGGCTGAATATAAGTGTCGCAGCCGGTATGGCTGCTGCTATTGGTGCAACAACACAGAGCACAAGACCTCCCAATGCCAGGATCAAGGCAAGGAGGATGTTCGACCTCGCATCAACTCGGGAAACTGAGTTGCGTGGGAGGTGAGGCGACTCCACCTCTCACTCCGCCAGATTCGACCGCCTTGCTAGCAGCCTCCTACACATCTGGGGAGAATTCGGATGTCGCGAGTGCTCGGTTCACTTACGAGGATTACGCTGTCCACTTGGTCCCACCGTTGGACCAGCCATTCCACGTGCAACAATCCATCGCATGCACGGTTTCATCACCATCGACAACCGATTCAACAACTTTGCCGCCAAATTTCGCCGAGGATTCGACGTCGTGGTCAAGACTTGAAGATCTCGACCCGTTGACATTCGCGGACTTCCAATGGATGCCCCTTCCCCCGACCGGTCGATTGCCGAAACCGCATTGCAACGTGCTCGTGGCACAATTGCGGGATTACTTGCACACTAGAGTACCAGCTCTGTTGATGGACGTCGGAGTAGAGGTTGTCGACCTTCAC